CCTGTTACAACACAGTCGTGACTCCCTGGAGCGGTGTGAGAGCTTGTTGAAGCCACACTTTGCACTGTGCTGACCGCTGCCCACCATTTCATGTGCTTGAACTGCCTTGGGACCATCTCTGTTTCCACAGCAGGGAGTTGGGGGGGAAAAAAGCATTAACAGCAATCACTGCCCATGTCAGACAGACCAATATTGGGAAGGGGCAACGAGGGCTGGAGAAGCAAAGGTTTGAAAGAAAATAAATGTAATTCTGGGAAGAGAAATGGCAGGAGATGGGGATGCAACAGCCTGGATCCTGGATGTGGGGGCTGAACCGTGTGAGCACAGGTTTCGAAAGCCCTGTCTCTAAGCCTGGTCTCCAAAGCTGGCAAGCGCCTAAACAAGCATCCTGCCAGAATATCCAGGAAGGACATTTATCTTCAATATCAGCAGCTTGCTTTCTTCTCCCTGGTGCACAGCTACGGCTAACGTTAGCAAATCCAGCATCCATCTGCCTGACTGAATATCTTCATTAGTGCACCTGACGGGCTGTATCACAACCATGTATTCTGATTCAGCCATTTGTTTCCACCATGGTTGCCCGTTTTGATTAGCATCTAGAAACATAACTTTTTCCTACTGAAGATGACTTGAAATTACCTTGTATATGTGCCCTAAGCATTTCACTAGACACAGCCCCGTCAGTGCAACAAGCTGTTGCTGCGGAGCAATGTTGTGCCTCCAGCACAGGGAGGCAGGATAATGACGTTTTTTCAGAAGAGAAACCTATCGGTGAGGCCACGAGATTCATTTTAAGTGGTGCAAAAGTGTGCGTCCCATTAAGAACATCTCTGTTCTCATGGTCTCATTCCCTAAGGAAATCAAATGTCTGGGTCTCCTCAGGAGTCTCTGATGTAAGCAAGTATTATTTTTCCCTATTTTTATGTTAAAGGCAGTTTCATTGTTTCTGCCCACCAAATTCTGCAGGTACGAGTCCAATTGTACTTAGCTACAGTGGAAATACCTTATGCCACCCAAACGCCGCATGGACTGTGATCAGTAACGTCCCATGCCAGAGCGGGGAGAGGGGGCAGCTTTGCAGAAACGCCGGACCCTTGCACCTCCCTGTATCATCTGCTTGGAGCTTGGCCTTGCCAAACATCATTTTGAGAATCCCCCAATGCTTCTCCTCCCGCAGGGAAACACAGCCATGCACATGGCTTTCCTAAGGTCCTGCAGCAAGTTAATGGTAAAATTTGTCATGGGTAAGTGGTGATGGGCTGAAGCACCCGCAGAGTTTAAGGAAGCAAGAGGTGATTCCCTCTGAGGATAAACTCCTTGGGGCAGGGACCAGTGCACTGCTCTGTATATATAGTCCCTATATAGTCCCTGTCACCATCAGGTCTAGGTATGCTTGATATTACTGTAAAATAAGTTATGTGTTGTCATTATTATTATCTTTTGATATTTTGGCCGTACCTGTTAAGAATCTCTTATCGCTGAATACCACAAGGATGTCTCATTAAAAGCAATACCTTTTGGGCGCTAGGGAGAGAGTTCTCTACACCATCTACTCCAGGCGAATTTTGGCATCAATTCAGAAGACTCAGAGTCAGACCACTAAAGCTCAGCAGAAAGGCTGTGATGGGGACGGTCCTGCCCGGGGACACCAGCCCTTCCCAGGTCTCGGATCAGTGGCTCTGCATTGCCATCTTCAGGCTGGGAGCAGCCTTGCTCCTTCCAGAAATCCTAGAAATCTCCCAAACAGACACAGCAAACTGAATTCCAGCTTACCCAGCATTAGTTGAAATTGGTGGCCAAACCCTGGAAAAAGGTGTTAAATACAAAGGAGGGGAAGGAGCTCTGCAAGGGTGGTGCTCAGCTGCCTTGGATAACACGGGTATTTCCCTTCCTGCAAGCGCACAAGGCTTTAAAGAGTAGATTAACACAAGCAATGCTGTTTAACACACTATTTCTTGCTGCAAGACAAAGTTTATTGGTAAGTTTTCTTTAAAGTACATAAACTGAAACTGCCTGAGTGATTTTAGCTCTGTAGTCCGCACTGTCCCAAAAAAAGCCTCTTTCTGACAATGATAAAAGCTCAGATTCTTGGGTGATTTTAATGGTAATATGTGTTTAAAAAGGTCTATGCCAAACACTTCACAGGTTTTTGGTAAATATGGTGGTGGGTTTGGAAGAGAGGAGGTTTCCAGGCTTCTGAGGTGATGGAACACATATCATGATGGACAATACCACACAGACAGCTTGGAGGGCCAAGGAGCTGTAATCACAGAACAGCACAGGTAACATATCCTAAAATAAATCAGAAAATCATCGAATAATGTGGGTGTCCTGTCCCAGCAAGGCCAGCTTAGATGAGGTTGCTCAGACCTTGTCTCATCACCTCGTGAATCACCTTGCGATTCCCCCACCTCTCTGGTCTCCAGACAGTGTTTGACCACCCTTGTGGCAGAAAATAGTCTCTAATAAGATCTGGTTGGAAAATCACTTTCTAGGAGCCCAGAAAATCGTAGAGTCATAGAACAGTTTGGGTTGGAAGGCACCTTTGAAGGTCATCTAGTCCAAATCCCCTGCAATGAGCAGGGACAAATGCTGCTACGCAGAAGAATATTCCAGCAGTAAAGCTCTTACCATTTTATCTCAGGTCTCAAGATAGTTTGTACCAGGTCTCACAACTGTTGGTACTTTTTCCCACTGCCTCAGTCCATGAAATCTCGCCATTACTCCCAGCTCTCAGTGAAAAAATGGGTAATTCTGGTACTTACCACGGCCACCTGTAGCACCACTCACTGGGCTGTGTCCATCGCAATCCCTTTCCCAACGCACAGCCCAGAGCACAACCCCGCAGGGGGGATTTGCGATTTTTTCCGCAAGAAAATGCTGTAGCTGTCCTTGTACTCGGATACCCAGCGGTTCCTGCAGAGAACATGGAAAAGGGGATAAGAAGAGGACCTCCATCCTCTGCTTGGTGCACCAGGAGAGGGGACCTGTCTCCCCTTCCGCAGCAGTTGACCACCCGGCCGGGATATAGCATAGAGCAAATGAAAGCACAAGTCGAGGGCATGGGGGAGATGAGGAACAGCCTGTCTCCATCAGGAGCGGCGCAGATGCTGCGGCACACATGGCTGTCATTGGGACCAATCTCCCACCTAGATCAACCGTTACACAGGCTCGGTCTCCAGACCACACATAACTCTAGGATCGTAGATCAAAATCGAGACTTCAATGCAGAGCTGAAATATATGTGTGTGTTAGGGGGAGGTGGGGGGATGAGGCAGCAGGGAGGAATTGCCTTTCCGGTGAGAAATGAGAGCTCAGGAGCAGTTTATGCCTGTTTGTTCATAGTGTGAAGATGAGTCATGTTGCAAACAGCTCCTGCCTTGTCTGATTTGAGAGAGCCCTTTCCCAGGGGAAGCCCAGTCATGGAAATGTTGAGACGTGCCTCCCTCCCCCAGTCCCACAGGGACCTCAGCACCTTCTTTCCACAGGGATGTATCAGAGGTTGCCCCAGAAGTCTCCCCACTCCTATCAACCCCACTGCAAAACTTTTCAAGAAAAGGCTGAGCAGGCCTTAAGAAAGGATTTGGCCCCAAGGGAATTCAGTTGAGCTCATTGCATAACACAGATGCAGAGAAATACGCTTGAGAAACACCTTCCAATCCCCACCAGCTCCAAAACCTCCCTGCCCTACTCTTACCCTGTCCCCAGTCCCACCAGCCACCCTCTCCCCCCAGCCCACCTCCCCCTTACTGGTTTAAGTGCTCATCTTCAGGGAAAATGTGAGAAAGGCTCCTATTTGCTTTACAGTATCCACCATGGGCTCCCGGCCAGCGCTGGAAATCTGTGTTGTAGGTACTTCTCCAGTCAAGGTCAAAGCACTCTAGTGAAAGAGAGTCCGAATAATTGAAAGACTTCTTTGGGTCTCTGTCCCACAGTCTGACTGTTCCCCCTTCTCCTGAGCTCCATCGGCTGTTTATGCTTTCAGCACTCCTGTTGGAGCTACCACGATCGAAGGGTTAGCAAAGGGAAAATGCAAGAAGCGCTTCCCTGGTGTAGATAAGGTCTTTTAGACAAGATTATTCAGCCCTTATTTTCTATAGCCTTTTATGTATGGTGGAAGCCACACAAGGCAGATCTGGAAATGATATCTTGTGCTCTTCCCTTTTGGACACTGATGTGTCAGCTGGTATGTATTTTCTCCTACTGTCTAGATTTTCTCTTTCATCATGCCAGAGCAATACATCTCTGCTTTATTTAATCAGGGACTGAACCAGGGAAGAGATCCAGGGTCTGCTTAACCCCCAAGTGAGGACCATCACATCTGTTGTGCTATCTTCCCCAAAAGTCCCCGCAGGAGCTGGTTTGAAGGGGTGCCGTCTCCTATCGTGCTCTCCAGAGATGCCCCATCTGTATGTTAATAGCCTGTGTGTGTGCCCTTCTGATTGAGCAGATCTGCCTGCGGAGACACGTGCTGCCACCTCTCGCAACAAAGCAGGGAGGATGCATAAAGAAGAGCTGCCGATTGTAGATGTTTCAGATTTTCTGTGTATTTTAAAAATGACACGTTCCTTTAATGACTCATTAGTAAAGTATTTTTGTTGTTTTCACTGAGGCTGAGCTTACAGGTATTTCACACGTGTGTGACCATGTCAGGCTGTTAATGCAACCCGAGTGGTCACAGCAGCAGTTCCCGTGCTGCCACATTATTTCCAGGGAGGCCACGTTGAGCAGGGCTGCGCTACATGGGGTGGCCCATATGGAAACTGGGATGAAAGAAACATTATTTACAAGCCTCTTCTGGAAGATAATTGTTTTTCTCTGCCCTGCCTCGCCCCACTGATGGGCAGATGGTTATGGGGACTCTGCTGACCTTTCCCATGTCATTCACCTTCCCTTCACCTTCCTCAGTCTCTTCCTGCATTAAATTAAAAAACCCAAAGCCAGGCTGAAGGCCACAAGTCACCTGCACGGGGCAGCTGCCACAACCTCCATCCACTCACCTTCCACCAAAACAGATGAGCCCAGGATCATGCTCCTGTTTTGCTGAGCATCGTGCTGCCTTGCCTGGCACGTCTCCAGGGTGAATTGCTGGTAGGTGGCCCAGCCCGGGGCCAGCTTCTGCGTGCGCAGCAAAGTTCCTGAGAGGTGGGAGAAGAAAAGAGCACATTAGTCGGGAAGCATCATCAATTACTCACCCAAATCCTACCCTTGGGTGGGAGCAAGAAAACAACAACAGCAAGTTGGAGCCTCAGCTGGCATAAAACAGGGGAGACCCATTCAATTCAGCAGAGCTTTGCTGAGGTGCATCAATTTTGCATCGATTTGGTTCATGAAGCCAGTAGGGGAAGGATTTATGGTGATGTGAAGTAAGTAGAAGGAGCCATGCTGTCTCCACGCTGCCCTGGAGCGCTAAAAGGAGCCGAGATCCTTTGCAGGGCGTTTGGGTATGAAAGGGAAAGACTTTGCAGGAAATACTGCACTCCTGGGCTACACAGGGGTAGAGTAGGAAGGGAAAAACCCACAATAGTTGTGCTATTAGCATAAGACAGCTTCAGATGGGCTTGGCAAGGAGATGCTTGAAGCCCTCAGATGTTAAGTAGAGTCTAAATGGACAGTCCAAATGGACATCTGTCCGAATGGAGACATGTCCATCTGAGCTGCTTGTCCAGACTCTCCTAGTGAGTGGAGAGAGAGAAAACCTGCCAGGGCTTACTTCACCTCATCCTCAAGGTGGCATTTAAGCTACGGGAGACGGCTGTGTCTTTTCTCCCCACTGATCACGAAGGGAGCTGAGGTGATCAGCTGCAGACACAAACGTCCCACGCTGGAAGAGGTGAGCTCAGGGAATAGACAGGACATTCCTGCTCCTGTCCTGGAGCATTGCTGAGCAATGCTGTACCCTCTCACACAGGAGCTCAGAGGAAGATCTCCACTACTTTGGGAAGGTTAGGCATGGCTGGATGATGTTTGGTGACCACTAATTTTGTTTTCCTGACTTCCATCAGCATTTTAATCCATGGAAGCAAGCTGTTAAACGGCATGGCTGAGGGCTGGCTACCAGCCCCTTTGCTGCATTTGCTACCAGACAGTTATCCCTAGCAGAAGGGCACTAAGGGCTGCTGGCTTGAACCACCCAAGTCCCACATGCTCAACCAGAGAGTCCTTTTGCCTCCCTGTGCTTCTGTTTGCCACCTGCAACATGGAGTTAACTGCATCTCCCTCTATGCCAAAGGAGTTGCTATGATAAAACCCTTAAAGGCTTTGCAGTGTTGATGCCTTGGTAGCAGAGGGTCTTCATGAACCGAGCGTGGCTCTACAGAGGTTTCTGAGACTCCAGCTCACTACATCTGTGCCTTGAGCTGGCCTGGGAGCTGCGTATTCATGGTAAAGGGGTGCTGTGCCCACACTGCTAATCCTCACCGGGCTCAGCCCAGCACCAATGCTTTGTTGGGATGCTGCCATCCCTGCGTGTCCAGCCAGCGTGGACCATGGGCAGGGGGAGCTCAGCTGGCAAAGGCCCAGGCAGACAGCCCCTCGGGTAGCTGCATAGGGCCAGTCAGCTGTTTGCAAGTGGCCGGCGCCCGCGTCGGGGAATTACCTGCTGTTCCAGCAGTCTGAGCAGCAGCTGGAAGCTGCTGGCAATAAGACAGCTCGTTCTCCAGCTCAGCGAGAGCCTGCAGCCTCTCCGATTTCTCTGCCTGGGTTGCTGCCAGTTCGGTGGCAGGGTAGTACTTTGGTAAGTAGCTTTCTGCAATGGGAAGGACTGAAGTAAAGTGCTTTCTCTGCTGCAAGGCTTTGGGGTTGGAGGTGCTACCTTCTGGTCTTCTCCCTCCGGCATCATCAGCACGACCGCTGGCTTTGATGCTCAGTGCTGGGATGATTTCTCTCCCCTGCCAGGCAACGCTGTCACTGTAGGTCATCGCCCACTCCTCCTGGGGTACGGCAAACTCCTTGGCTTTTAGCTGGGAGTCTGCAATCTGCAGCTTCTGCAGAAAGAAGTCCCATGTGAAGAGAGAAAGAGAGAGGCAGTGAGTGGGAAGGCCGGTTGCTAAAGCATCAACAAGCAACGCTATCTGCCCACAGCAAAGCTGGGCTTTGGTGGGGTCAGCACCCCTGGGGACACAACAACCACAAATCAGCTCCATAATGTCATTAAAAATGCACTGACCATCACGGCTTTCTTTTTCTGCCCATCTTATGGCTTGGGACTCTGCTGGGCCCCAGGTGGACAGTAGGAGGGAGGGAGGGAGCCCCAGCACAAACAGTGGTTTGCTGATGGGAGAGGGAACAGCTTCAAGGTTCTTGTCGGGGAAAAGGCTAATGGGGCTGTTGGCATGGCTGCTCTAGGGGGTCTGCTGGCTCCAGCCTCTTCAGCTGCACACTATAGCTCCACCATGAGCCAGTTGCTCCTTTCTAAGGGCTCAGAAAGAGACTTTCCTGCTGTAAGCTCTGCCAGGCTGCTGGGCCCAGCAAGGACCATCCTCATGGGGTTTGTCCATCATTGTTTTGGATCTCCATGGGTTTCTATTTGTCCCTGAACCTCCAAGGTCCCCAGGGCTCTCCCCAAGGTGGCTTCTCCTTGTCCATGTTGATAGTAGGGCAGGTGGAGGCTGCTGAGCTATGGGAACTACCTGTATCTGGGGGCTTCCCCCACCGAGGATGGCCAGAGTTCCTCATGAGGCATCTCCAGAGGGACAGGAGCCTCCAGGAGCCCATGGTGGGGATGGCCCCCCAGCCAGTGCTTTCTGCCTCAACCTACAGAGATCCCCACCTTCCCCTTGCGAGCAGGCTACCCTCCAAAATTTCACAGAGAAGAAACCACCATATTTTTTAAAGAGGTTTTATCCTCTTAAAGCAAAACCAAATCCTAGCAGGGCCCCTAACCTGGGCCTCCCAAGTACCTCATCATCATGCTATCCTGTGGGACAGCTTTCTTCTGCAGGCCTTGGGAGTTAATAAAGAAGCAATAAAGAGTCAAAGGGAGCTGCAATCCAAGGAAAACAGACATATCTCAGGTTCTCCCTCCCTTTTTATCTCCCAGAATACATCAGGGTCTCCACAGGAAGCATGCAGCCTTCCAAAAAAATAAAATTATAAAAAAAAAGGAAAAACAGAAAAGAAAAAGAAGTTTAGATGCATGGCTTGGAAACTGTGCTCCAGCAGGCAAGGGTTAAACCCTGCCCTCCCCGCCAGGATCTCAGCTCCTGGAAGCGGAGCAGCCACCTAAGGCTGGGGCTGCCCGGGAAATGCTCGCCAGCCCCGGAGAACAGCGGGAGCCCCGAGCTGGACCGTTAATGAAGGCTGCTGGCAGCGGGAGCGCTCCTCGGGGCAGGAGGAGGCGAGAGGGGAGGAGAGGAGAGGGCTCCCCAGGCTGCTGCCCAGGAGAAGATGGCAGCGGTGGCCACAGACAGCCCCTCTGTGCCAGCGGGCACCTTCACACAATGATTTCTCTGTTGTTGTCCCCCCCTTTTTCCTCCCCAGCCTGAACATTTTTTTTTCTCCTCTCTCGTGAGTGTATGAGCCCAAAGCACTTTAGCAACCGAACATGCCCCCCGCCACTTCTCCACAGTGGCCCAGTGCAAACCGCAGCTGTCCCCACCGGGCTGCCACAAGCAATTAAGCCAGGGCAGGCGGAGCGAGGCAAATCAGATTAAATAGCTCAGGGGGTCGCTTGCACTGCAAGGAGATTAGAAAAAAAACAACCTCAGCTTCCCCGCAGAAGTCTTCTCAGGCCCGTGTCAGGGCAAGGAGACATCTCCATCCCAAATGCAATCCCCCTCCTCAAGGCGGTAGTGGGATGGGTCTAATCCTGACGCACTCCATCAGCCCCACAGGGAGCAACAGGAGTCCAAGGCTTAGGCACTGGTTCAGCAAGCAGTCGTTAAGTGCCCTGACTTAATGAGCGTAATTAGCATTGCCCGCCCCAAACAGCTTTACCGGAGGGCACGAGGGGGATTTCCCGCAGAAGGGATGGGGACACAAGCCAAGGGCATTTGGGCGTGATGCGACCTGCTGGTGGGTTACAGCGGTGGGGACCAAAGCAGACCCTGTCGGTTCAGATGTCTCCTGCCCCCTCAGCACCGACCCTGTCCCTGGCTGTCCTGTAGCCCTGAGAGAGGAACTGGCACCACGGGCTAAAGAACCAAGCAAGGAAAAGCCCATGGTACCTGTGTGTCCTCTTCGTTGGGTGGCTTGTACTCCTTGCACCACTGGTAGTCTCTCTTGTACAAACTCCTGTACATGCCTGGTGACACAGGCAGCTGAAATGAGAAGAGGCAAACACAAGGAGCTGCTAGGACTTGAGGGAAGCCTTCAAAAGTGGTGATACAAACCCAAAATGCTCCCTTGTAGCTCAGGAGAGGATGAGCTGCTCTTCTGGGTGCAGCCTCTGTCCCCTGGCCCACCTGGGGCCAGCCCAAGAAGGGCATCCCCTTGCTCAGTTGAGCCCTGAGCAGGGTGGCCAGGAAGGTCCTACACTCTCTTGGCAAGGGTTTCTGGGGCTCTTCTTGTCCCAGGCAGTCCCTTGCAACAAACACCTTCCTCCTGCCTTTCTCAAGCCTCCTCTGACTGCTCAGATGCCCCCAGGCAGAGCACTAGTATAAAGCTGCCGAAATACTTTGATCAGCTGCTGGGGTCCAGTGTCACTGAGGTTAAATCAGCATGCACTTCTGTCTCCTATTTCAGTAATATTTCCCATGTGCTTATCACATATTTAAAGTTAAGTGCTGGCTAATGTCAATACTCATTCTGCAAAGTGATTGGAAAAATTACAGAGGAAAACTCTGCCAAGGGATGTTAAGCCAGTGACACCTGCCCTAACACCAAAAATTGGGGCAGTGCAAACTGATGGAGACGGGGAGAGGATTTTAGGGAAGGACTACGTGCATGTCTTGTTTCCTGTGCTCCTCCCTCGGCATCCACCATGGGCACTGCTGGAGCCAGGAACTTGGGCGAGATGAGCCTTCAGGCTGACCCGAGAGGGCTGTTTTTACGCTGAAGCATTAAATGTGCTAACTTGTCAATGCACAGCAGAGGGCTGGGGGAGATGAGCTCTTGGGTGGTAATGGAAGGTGTTACTGCGATCTCCGTTGCTACATGAACCTGTCTACCATGCAGGGGTGGCTTGGCCGGCCAAGGCGCGGGTCTGCGCTCCCATGCCTCGTGTGATAAAAAGGAACCAATAACTGCACCAGCACACAGCACCTTAGGGAGGGCTCCTCGTGCCTTGCCAACAATGTCACCCATTATCGTCAAGAATATATTTTATATTCTCATTCCTTTTTTCTAACATTTCACTCTTTTCTCCCTCTGGACTTCCCAGACCAGTGGCTGCCTTTGGCCAGGACCCAGAATCTTGTTGTCACCAGCTCTTTATTATCTTCCCAGCATGGCAGACCCTGCAAACCCGTTACTCAAACATCAGTGAGGATGAGAGTCCCATGTGTACTTCACCTTTGAGTGTGCTGTTTTCCTCATCGTGTCCACCATGGTGAGTCAGGAACCTGGATGAGAAGAAGTCACTCAGTTAACAACGAGCAAACCAGAGCCTGTCTTCCACACTGCTCCAAAGGATAAGGGATCTAGAGACCTGGAGTTGAGTACTGGCAGGAAGAAGGGGATTCAGCTGGGCCTATAGGACCCCTGTGCACCCCAAATTGGCAGTTAGAGTATGATTGACTTCACCCAGCTTCAGCAATGCAAAATATACCCATCCAGCCCAGCAACCAGCACATATGGAGCCAGACACCTCAGGGGATGCAGCTTGGTGGGACCCAGCAGAGAAGAGATGGCAGCATCCCACCACTACCAGCCCCAGAGCCAGCTGGGGAGTGAACACAGGTGTCCCCTCCTGGGACAGGGTACATGTGCAATGGGATCCACCAGCGGCTGCGTGGCCACAGTGTTTCCAGGGACAAGGGAAACCTCTGTCCCTTTGTGAGAAACCCGTGCTCCAGAACCCTAGAGTCCTTGGTGGGAGGGGGTTACCCAAGAGAGTGTGGGGTGAGGGCTTCTTGTAGGAGAAGCCACCCCACAGTCAGCTGGGGAGCTGCTACCTGCCTTTTCAGCTGCAGCTGGCCATGCTGGGGACATATGGCCAGGAGAGGGACAAAGCCTGCCCTTTGTGAGTTCTCAAAGCCTCCCCAGCTCCTGCTAAAGATAAAGATGGGAGTAAAAGATGGGGAAACAGGGGAGGGAAGGACCTACTTTGTGGATGCGTTGTGGGGAGTGGAAGAAAACATCATCCTTACCTCACTGCATGGAGGGGTGGGAAACATTGCAGAAATAAGGCAGGCAAGGATCTCCACTTGGTCTTGGAGGGCGGCCGAGTATACCTGAACTGTCCCATCCAGATGTTGCAGCCCCCTTCCTCTGATGACCTGCAACATAAGACAGCAGGGGATGCTCAGATTTAGTCTTCTGTCCCACGAATGGACAGGACCGCCAAACTAGTAGAGAGTATTTACTCTTTAAAAAATGTCAAACATTAACCAGGTTCAGATCCACCTCATGCAAGACTAATCTCACCTAATTTTAGACGTCCACAAAGAGGACATCTCCCTCTGAGCTGATCCTTCCTGGCTCATTTAGCCCAATTCATGTGACCAATGTAGATACATACTTGGGGATGAAATAAGCTGCTTTCTCAGAAACCTTGAGCTTGGTCAGCTGAATCTCATTCAGAGTCCAATTTCTGTAGCTACACATGAGCCTGGCTATTGGTTCAGAAACTGGCACTATAGTAATGCAAATAGTAGTAAATGCTGGTGATGATGCATGAGTCAGAAAGATGACATCTCGGCTCCAGGATCCTCCACAGAGGAGAGCCGGTCATGGACCTGGGTTCACAAGCACTATCGGAATGAGCTGAATTTCTAGATTTATTTCTCTTTGCACCCTGTTACGCACCAGTGTATAACTGGAGCCTGAGGACGCTAATGCTCTGGCAAGGCTCGTGTGCTGCCAACAGCTCAGCACTGGAGTCAGGCAGAAGGAGAAGCCCTTCGTCCCCATGGTATTTTATGCAAATTAATATTAGAATAAATGATGCAACAAGGAAAGAAATTATTTTCAGAAACGTGAAACTCTCATGTTCTCCTGTGCTTATATTAAAGGGATTACACTCCATTTCCTTCTTAATACAGCTAATGCTCTATGGGAAGCCCTCAGGCCAGGGATTAAAGCACTTATTCAATTAATTAGGAACAAACTTCTGCCTTAAAGTCAAACACACAAATATCAGTAAGCCCTTGAGAGTGTCTTCCTTCCAGGGCAGGGAAAATGGATCCTATTTCTGATGTAAATGAAACCAAGTCTGCACTCTAAAATTATCAGGAATAACACAAATTAAGAAGATTCACTTTTAAAATACCGGCATACTGTAAAGCAGTCCGGTAAAGGAGGGACACTGCCATCATCTTGAACTCAGCATCTGAACTCCCATCAGTTACTGGGGGAGCAGAATCAGGTCATACAAAACTAATATAAGAAGCGAAATACAATTTTAGGATGCAACATTGGCAACTAGCTCCAAGCTGCAGGCACAGCAGTGTTTGGATATATTGAAGTTAGGGGTGAAATCCTGGCCCTGCTAAACTGAAAAAATAAAATGCTTATTCAGTAGGATCCGAATTTCACCTAAGGTGTCTGATTCATTACCGAGATAGGAGACAATTTCCAAAACCTGGCTCCAAATCCTAATCTTCCTTGATGATGGCTTGATCCTGCCGTCTTCTCGCAGGCGCAGCTCACAAGAAATTAAAAGGCATTTTGCCAGGATAGTTCATGCAGGAGCAGCCCACTATTGCTGTTCAGCTTCTCCTTTCTTCTTCCCAAATGATGGGGTGATAATTGCCAACATAATCCCAATTAGAAGTAGGTAGGAACCAAACTCCCAGCCCTCATCTTTTTCTACCTCTGAGAGAGCTTATCTGCCTCCTCGTTGCGAACTCATATATGCAGAAAAAGTAAACCAATCACACACCTTTTTTTTAAAGTTTTTCTATACATATGGACTTTTTTTAAACTTCCTTCACAGACGCTTGTGGGCTGCAGTGCCATTATCTCTGCTGCGATACCAATTCCTTGCAATGGTCCCAGATTTCTCTTGAGCCCCCCGATACAAGGAAACTTGGCAGAAGGATGCTCCTGCACGTCAGATCCCTCCCTCGGCATCCCCGCACACAGTGCTCCGCACGGGCTGCACATGAGACGCACCGGGAGGAAGACATCCAACCGGAGTGAATGGAAATATTGTGTTGGCTTCACATAAGCTGGAACTGCCCCTTCCCTACAGCATTAACCAGTACATCATCATTCAAACTCTGCTGGGCTACACAAAGCAGCACCGGGCAAATCAGTGTTACCTGTGAATCTCAGCCATGGGGTTGCTTTGTCAGCATTTTTTTGACAAGGCAGCTTTTCCTGTGCCTCTTCCTCCCCACCTTGCCTCAACTAAATACTTTCTATATGTTTTTCTAAAGCTCCCCTGCCCTAGGAGCACTTTGTTGAAGAGGGCCCACTGTACCCTGCATGGCTGCTGTCTGTGCAGCTGTCTGCACATCTCTAAGACAGAAGTTAACGCTGAAGACCAACACTGTGCTATAAATACCTGCAGGAGAAAATTGCTCTTAAATAATTCGTTTATCATCTTCACAATACTCCAGGGAGGGGACGGCTGAGATTCCCAGGGTCAGGAGCCTAAACCACGTACCTGAATGGACGTGCCTCTGTTTCTCAAGGCAATGATCACCCCAAACATGCAGGGAGGTTTTCAGAGGGTGCTGGTGCTTTTGACCTCTCCACATCACGCTACGTGCATGGATACAAGGAAATTACAACAAGCCAACCAGATTGCCAAAGGCAGACAATTATGTGTTCTAGTAGTACCTTGAGAAAATTTTCCAAGGGGAGCAAAGGCATGACAGCTGAGTTCAGGTCCTTTAAAATCAGATGGGAAGAGTTTAAACTAAAGTCAAGGACCTTAGTTATAATGTAAAACAATGAGATTTGTGTACCTGATCTGGGCAGCTGCTTCCCAATATTCTGCTGGACATTTCCCTGTGCTTAGAGCTACCTACATACCTCTGGAAAGTCGATCTCATAGCCTCAGTAAGACTCCAGTAGCATATAGGATGTGACACAGAGATGAATTTCACCTCAGTTTGGCCCTAACTTCCCGTATCTGTTGTCTTTTTCCACTTGTGAAATGGCAACGGTGCTATCTAAGCCTGCGTTGCTCTTGTGCAAGGCGCTGCACTGG